TTGCATTGGTTGATGCGACTCTACAATATCGCGTGGACATCGGGGGCAGTTCCCCTGGATTGGCAGACCGGGGTGGTGGTCCCCCATTTAAAAAGGGGGGCCACAGARTGTGTTCCAACTATAGGGGGATCACACTTCTGAGCCTCCCTGGTAAGGTCTATTCAGGAGTTCTGGAGTGGAGGGTCCATTCGGATAGTCAATCGCGGATTCAGGAAGAGCAGTATGGTTTTCGTCTTGGTCATGGAACAGCGGACCAGCTCTACACCCTATGCAGGGTCCTGGAGGGTTCATGGGAGTTCACCCTACCAGTCTACATGTGTTTTGTGGACTTGGAGAAGGCGTTCGACCGTGTCCCTCGGGGACTCCTGTGGGGGTACTCTGGGAGTATGGGGTACCAGGCCCATTGATATGGGCTGTTAGGTCCCAGAATGACCGGTGCCAGAGCTTGGTCCGCATTGCCGGTAGTAAGTCGGACTCGTTTCCGGTGAGGGTTGGACTCTACCAAGGTTGCTCTTTGTCACCGATTCTGTTCATAACTTTTATGGACGGAATTTCTAGGCTCAGCCAAGGTGATGAGGGGATCTTTTTTGGTGACCTTAGGATCATGTCTCTGCTTTTTGCGGATGATGTGGTCCTATTGGCTTCRTCAGATCGTGATGTCCAGCTCTCRCTGGAGTGGTTCGCAGCCGAGTGTGAAGCGGCCGGGATGAGGATCAGTGCCTCCAAATCCGAGACCATGGTCTTGAGCCGGAAACCGGTAGTGTGCCRCCTCCGGGTCGGGGAGGAGGTCCTTMCCCAAGTGGAGGAGTTCAAGTATCTCGGGGTCTTGYTTGAGCGAGGGAAGAATGGAGCGGGAGATCGACAGGCGGATTGGTGCTGCATYTGCAGTGATGCRTGCACTGTACCGGTCTGTCATGGTGAAGTGAGAGCTGAGCCAGAAGGCAAAGCTCTCGGTTTACAGGTCGRTCTACGTTCCTACCCTCATCTATGGTCACGAACTTTGGGTAGTGACTGAAAGAACAAGATCGCGGACAAAAGTGGCTGAAATGACTTTCAKCCAAAGGGTGTCTGGGCTCTCCCTTAGAGACAGGGTGAGAAGCTCAGTCATCCGGGAGGGACTCAGAGTAGAGCCGCTGYTCCTCCATGTCGAGAGGAGCCAGTTGAGGTGGCTCGRGMATCTGGTTAGGATGCCTACTGGACCCCTCCCTGGTGAGGTGCTCCGGGCATGTCCCACTGGGAGGAGGCCCAGAGGAAGACCCAGGACACGCTGGAGGGACTATGTTTCCCAGCTGGCCTGGGAACACCTWGGGATTCCCCCGGATGAGCTGGCCCAAGTGGCTGGGGAGATGGAAGTCTGGGTCTCTTCTGCTGCTGCCCCCGCGACCRGATCCYGGATAAGYGGCAGAAAACGGACGGAYGGACGGATTTGAGGGGRAAAAGACATACCGGTACTATTGAAGTGTTCAACAAACTACTAGCATGATCTAATAAACATGTTTCACTCCTTGCGTTAATAGTTTTGAACATTTGCCAACAAATAGATAGAAAATCTGCTAAAGCTAGCTTTTCTTTTTGTGGGTAATAAAACAAACAAAAATGATCTAATCTAGCTTTGATCAAAGCTTTAAAGAGCCGCTGCAGAGGGACCAAAGTGCTGCAGGTTGCAGACCCCTGGTCTGTAGTGACAGCCACTTATCTCATGAAGCATTGGATACATTTTAATCACCATATACATCCACCACAGCACACTGACCATAAAAATGAAATARTTGTTATAATTCAGCCAGTTCTAAAGATATTGAGCTCAAATTTCACATGGTAATAGCTTAGCATCACCCCCAGCACATTTTGARTAAAATAGATTGCTCTATCGTTGTGCAATATGCTCAAAGCATTGGCATTAACTGTTTAAGTCACCCCTATTTTGTTAGCAAAATGTCTTATAAACCACAGGATGGATTTCAAAGAACTCTCAGAACAGGCAGAGTTGGGTAATAACCAGTTACATTTACTCAGTTACATTTACTTGAGTAACTTATATAATGTACTTATGGGAGTATTTTTTACTAAGCTTTACTTTTTACGTTTATTTGAGTCATTTTAGTATGAAGTATCTCTACTCTTACTTGAGTAAAATTTCTGGAAACTTGTGAGAAACTTCACTGAA